TCCTGTCACACAGGAAGAAATACAGCTCTTTCAGATACACCCAGTAGTCCTTCTGGTCATTTATTTTAATCACTTGATAGGAGACATGCAAGCATTATTTTCTCGCTGGTAACTGGTATTCCTCTTATCCCATGAGAAACTGCTATCAACATAACACATGAATATCCTAGAAATTGGTCTGATATTATTACTTAACATTTCTGAAAATAATGGGCGGAAAAAGACAGATGCGATACAAAGCAAAGGCCAAGTAAATTTCTGAAGGCCTATCTTTACAAACGTATGCTGACTAATCTAAAAATCCTCAAAGTTTCCACAGTTTCACTAAGCCAAGTTCTTACTGGCCCAAGGGAAGCTATTGGTGCTCAAGTCTGCAGGAGGCCACTTCTCTGTTTCACTAAAGGGAGGACTAATCTCTACCTCCATATGTTCATAAATATAAATGGATGCACACACATTTACATTTGCTGACAATAATGGAAATAATTTATCAAGGACATGAATTATTTCCACAGTATAAGCGGTTCACTGTTTACTTAAAATAAAAGAGTAGATTATTTCATTACATTGTTCCACTTTTCACTAGAATTAAAATACCTTTCATAAAAGAATACTGGAAATAAAAAACGTTGGGTACCTAGTTGAGCTTTTTTTTAGAGGGGAACATAAGCTTTGACAGGACACATAAAATGAAACATAAGTTACAAAAGCAAAAAATCAATTCAGGCGTCCAAATCTAGTCAGAAAGAGTATTCACTTTGCTCCACTGGTTAAAAGTCAGAATTCATTTACCTGATACACATGATTTTAACCCTGAAGTTTACCTCCTGAGGTCATTGTCTTGCAGACAGGTGTGAGCTCCCACAGCTGCAGAGAGCCTCACTAAGGTTAAAAAAGTCCCTGAAGAAGTCCCTGAGAAGGACTTGACCTTTTATTTCACACTTAGCTCAGAAAGAGATATAGAAATACATGAAATGTGTGAGAGGGAAATGGGGACATCACTGAAGAAGGATGCTGAGCAGAGTTTGTATTGTCAGGGACATGAAAACTGACAAGCACAGGTCAGTTCTGGGGAGAAAAACTAGGAAATGTCCTAAGCAGCTGCAGGGAAACCAAGGGAGCTGAAGAAAGCTGAGGGTAAAGTTCTCACTATTACCAGGGAAGAGATATCAAGATACTGTACAGAAGGGAAAGACTTTACTTAGGAAAAAAAAAAACCAAAAACATAAGAATGAACTAGTAGAGATTTAGAAGAGAGCCTTTAAATAACGTCTTTCTGCAACCAGAAACAAGCGGATCATTTGCAGAGGGGTTAGCTTTTCTTGCCGGTTGCTCCGGGTGCTTTCAGTGACACTTCCTGGGACTAGAAAAGCCTTTTAGGAAACCAGCTACCGGGGCCGTAACTACGCGGCGGCCGCAGACAGCGGGGCTTGGAGAGAAACGCCACAGAGGGAGCGTCGAGACTCAGCCACCCTCCCCGGGCCAGAGAGGGGCAGACAGACCGACCCCGGGCCAGAGGGGGGCAGACAGACCTACATGAAATGTGTGAGAGGGAAATGGGGACATCACTGAAGAAGGATGCTGAGCAGAGTTTGTATTGTCAGGGACATGAAAACTGACAAGCACAGGTCAGTTCTGGGGAGAAAAACTAGGAAATGTCCTAAGCAGCTGCAGGGAAACCAAGGGAGCTGAAGAAAGCTGCGGGTAAAGTTCTCACTATGACCAGGGAAGAGATATCAAGATACTGTACAGAAGGGAAAGACTTTACTTAGGAAAAAAAAAACCAAAAACATAAGAATGAACTAGTAGAGATTTAGAAGAGAGCCTTTAAATAACGTCTTTCTGCAACCAGAAACAAGCGAATCATTTGCAGAGGGGTTCGTTTTTCTTGCCGGTTGCTCCGGGTGCTTTCAGTGACACTTCCTGGGACTAGAAAAGCCTTTTAGGAAACCAGCTACCGGGGCCGTAACTACGCGGCGGCCGCAGACAGCGGGGCTGGGAGAGAAACGCCACAGAGGGAGCGTCGAGACTCAGCCACCCTCCCCGGGCCAGAGAGACCGACCCCGGGCCAGAGGGGGGCAGACAGACCGACCCCGGGGCAGAAAGACAGACCCCGCAGCCGCCCCCGGCGGGGCCAGGACGCCGAGGGCTGCACCGCCCGGGCCCCGCCC